AAAAAAAAAAAAAACAAGCAAAAAAAACAAAAACAAAAAAAAATTGTTGTGATTGAGAAGGTGAAGCGGCTAGCAAAGCTGGGATGGAGTACAAAGCAAAGAGTGCTGCCGCTCTGTTGCAAATTTATAGTAATGAGATGTAGAAAGAGGCTGACCAGCTGGTGAACAGTACAGTAATCCAGGCAAAAAGACAGCAACGCTCAGTGAAGCCACACAATGATGCAGCTGGTGAATTGTGATCGTAGCGCTGGTAGGCCTTTTAGACACTCATGTGGAAAGATAGGAAAGGCATATTTTACCTTCATAAATTGAACTTTTAAGGTGAGATGTGGACAGGAACTATGTATTTAGAAGTGTCTCCACCACTTTCCTTGTTGCTGTGATACAATGACTGACAGCCGCAGTTTAACAGACAAGAGGTTTAGCCATGTCTACGTTTTCTAAGGATTCAGTCCATAGTTTGCTGCCCGCAAGGCAGGAAGGACCTACCCCTTAGGTCACCCACCCAACACCCACCTCCAATCAGACCACACCCCTAATGGCACACTCAGCTGCTGAGCTCCCTAGGGGATGAATCCACCAGGGACCCATGATCCAACTACTTTCGAAACCACCATCTTTGATTGTATGAGAGCACTGGAGGCCCCGTGGATCAGAGCCATTACTTCAACAATTGAACCTGATGAGTGAGCAGGTGATGCTGGAGGATGCAAGAGTGGATGAGAATTTTATCAAAGGAAGAAGATATATTTTAAAAATTGCAGAGTGAGAGAAAGAAGGTACAAAACAGCTACTGAGGAATCATTTAGTGGAGTAAGAACAGAGTGAAGAGAAAGAGGTGTCCTCTGAGCACAGGGCATCAAGTTTTCAAAAAGTAAGATCAGTTCTAGACCAACCTGCCGAATAAGCTGGGGCGATAGCTCAGCAGCCTAAGTGCCTGCCTGGCAAGCACAAGGTCCTGAGTTTGATCCCCGGTACAAAAAAAAAAAAAAAAAAAAAAAAAAAAAAAAAAAAAAAAAAAATCAACCTGCCAAATGGTGGAGAGACAGAGGCCAGATATTAAACATGGCAAAGAAAAGACATACAGAAATCTGGATAAAATCTGGTGACAATGTTGATTGGGTTGGATTGAGGGTGTGAAAAGGGAGAAAATAGAAAACAGAAGCAGACAGTTTCTTAAACAAACATGTAGACACCGACACAGACACACACATATCTGAGAATAAAAGACTTACCTGCAGCTGAAAGTGAGCTTTTTTCTTTGTGTATGAGATTTCTGATATGAATAGCAGCCTTCAAAATCTACCAGACAGTTTAAATTCATTTCAATACTACACGTGTTTCTCAGCATTGTTTTAGTACTCCCAAAATCTTTAAATAATAATTCTATTTTATATACCTGTCCCATCATTTACAAAGACAACCAATTTTAGTGATCTTTACTAAATTCCCAAAAAGAATGATAATGGTGCACACAGGGATAATTACAATTTGGTTTTCATTCATATCATTTAATTGATATTGTGATCATTCAACTGGCATCTGCGTTGAGCCACTGAAAGCAGTGGTTCTTTGGGAAGTTTGGACACAGTTTTTAACAAGGAAACACTTATTCATTTCCACTTTTAGTAAATCATCTTGTTGTCTCACTGGTAAGTTTTCAAGGTTAGCAATTGTTTTTAAAAGGTTATTTTTATTACAGGAAAGGCAGACAACGGTGAAAAAGGAGAAGAGTGCCTCAGAGCAGCCAAACAAGGTGGCCAGCAGGAGCACAGTGCAGAGAGCCAACTCAGTGACCGTGGATGGACAAGGCCTGCAGGTGCAGCTTGGGGACCACATTTGATCAATTAATTAATTAATTAATTAATTTGTATTTTAGGGAAAGCTCTACAGGGTATTCAGGGTCTCACTGCTAGATTGGACTCGTAGTGATCTGCCTGTTTACAGCCTCCCAAGGGCTGGGATTACAGGTGAGCGCCGCCATGCCCAGACTCAATTGCTGTCTCAGCGTGCCCTAGGGGCAGGGCCAGCATGGCAGGCCCTGGGATCGAGCCCCCGGCCTCTGAGCCTACTAACAGGCGCTTTAACCCACTGAGCTTTTTGCTAGCCCTCGGGGACCACATTTGAATGACTTCTGTCTCATTACGTTTTTCTCAGAGAAGGAGATGTGTTCAGCTATCAACATGTTTATGTAACATTTTTATTAGCTCAATAGACTGCTTGGGGAAGCTTGTTATTAATTTATCAAGATGTGAGGCTTTTAGTTGATGGACAGAGTGACATTCTGGTTAGATTCATCGCTTATGATGTCATCTCCACTTAAACTGAAGGTGGCAAATCATCCTTTGTCAATCTAAAAACTTTTGCAACTGACTACTAACTATACATTGTTATTATGAATATTTGTGGCATTTGTTTATACACGTTCTCTTTCATTCCATGTAGTTATACGCACATACATATATATTAATAAGCTATAATTTTGAAGAAATATTTTCCTTGTGAAATTGTGTCTTAAGAAAGAAGAAAATGATTTTCTATGTGTGGATGTTTTTCTTACTAAGAATCATTAAGATGAAGAATTTATTTTTATTTATCCAGTTTTTAAAAGTTTTAGATAACCTGCAAACTATATATTTGTAGTCTAAGATTAAAATACTTGAAAAACATTTTAATTGCTGTAAAATCTAAAAAATTATTCTTATGATCTCTGACATCAAAATGACATTTTGTAATCTACATTTTGAGTCATTTTATACAATGGATATAGTTTTCCTTTTTCTTTTATTTTCAACTCCACAAAGTACACCACAGAAAAACTTGCTGAACCCATGAAATTGTTAAGTTATTTAATTCAATAGTTTATTAAACTCAAACATAAAGCATAATTCCAAGTCATAAAAGTATTATTTTTGACAGTATATACTTTGTTATTAAAGACTAAGTGAGGATATAATTTTGGGAAATCATATTTAGCGAGGTCATTGAAGGTCTCAGATGTGAAAGTCGTCCAAATTTCAACAGCAAGACAGAATTATACATGACCTTATGAAATTTTCATTTTAAAAATTCAACATTTAAATTTAGTGTGTTAATTACCATATTGACTAGCTTCAATTCTTTAGTTACTCTGAGTTTCTGTAATGATATTAATGGAAAGAAATCCAAATGTGAAATCCATGTGCGTTTTCTATGTGGCTAGACACATAGCTTTCATCTTGGAAAGAAAATGTGTATGATTTTTTAATATCCTGTACAATTTAGGCAATCTAGTAAATTTTTACAGATATTAACATATATAATTATCTCAATATACATGAGATCCATGCCACCATTACTATCATCATTTTAAAATTATAATAGTGATGTTCAGAAGTGTAATACCTTCCCCAAGTCCACAGCGGCTAGCAGTGCTAAAGCCGGGAACTGAATGAGGGAGAGCTGACTTTGAGTTGATGTGTTTTAACCTAAAGCACACTGTCTCTCTGACTGCCTGTATATAACTGTTAGATTTAGGACTTCTTGATTTTCCATGCTTTGAGTTAAGAATCAGTTTTATTAAATCTGTGGTTTATCAGTTTCTTAAGATTTCAGTAATCATATCTTCATTTTCTCATTTTTAATACCAAGCTACTTATAGATTATTTACAAGCTTTAGACAGACATATCACATTAAAACCATATACAGCTAACATTCTGTGGATGACTGAATCTTTCTAAACTTATACCTTTCATACATTATATAACTTTTTTTTTTCTCAGCTTAAGTTTTTGATAGGGAAATCACAGACATCTGCCCCAAGAAAACAACAGAGGGGGCTCGGGAGATGGTTCAGTAGAATAAGGCACTTCCCTGGCAAGCGCAAGGGTCTGAGTTCAATCCTTGGTTCTGAAAAAAAAGAAAGAAAGAAAGAAAGAAAGGAAGGAAGGAAGGAAGGAAGGAAGGAAGGAAGGAAGGAAAAGAAAGTAGATAATGCTGTAACTTTTTTTATAATTTTTGAGTTTGAAAAAATTGTCATGTTATGTGCAAAGTCTATTATCTACCCACATTTATATAGTTTTAAGGAAGATGTAAAAAAGCAAAAGAATAAACTTAATACGTATTTCATATAAAATGGAAAAAAAATGTTGCTGTTATGGTTATCAATTTTAAAGTGATAAAGTGGTTGCTTTCTTAATCCAGAAAAGCAAAAGTATCTACTAGAAAATTAATTTTTCTATGAGTTTTAAAAATACGTATCCTGAAACAGCATTAAGTTGCAGTCCCGTTTGCACAAAACTCAGTGACAGAAGAGAACTATGCTGTTTAAGAAGACTATTAATCATAGTTAAGCACATTCATCTTACTTCTTTCCAGCTAACCAGTATAATGATCAGGATTATTATTTCTAATTAGAGGAAGTAATAGATCATGTATAACCTTAGGATGAGTCTCATTAATTAACCCAAATCCCAGGGGACTTCAAATGGCGGTGGCTACTCACTCTGTCTCTGTCATCACTCACACTGTAGGTTTATACTCGAGACATATGACCAAATGTCACTGAAATTATATTTTTAACATGCAAGAGATATAAAAATACAGGTGATTACTTCGAATGCAAACAAATAATGAAAACTAAAACAAATCTTTAAACTCTTATACTGACCTTACCTTGTAGCCTAATACTTTGAAATTTCCAAATTACAAAGTCACTGGAGACTAAAGAACCTAGTTGTAATGTTTTACACTCAAGAACAAAAGGGAGACCTTTATACCTACTCCCTAAAATTGAAAATGTGTCTTCCCCCATCCAATTGCTTCTCATGACCATTTTCTAATTCCTTACTATTTTATTTTATGATTGTCAAGATCATAACTAAACAAACACACATAGGATACTTAAATCCATAGTATATATATTCATTAATCTACATTCCCTGACTAATAGTTGTAAATTCATTTAATAACAGTAAATGTATGACTTTTTTCACTCAGTACTTCAATTTTACTAATTATTTGAGAAAAATAATCATTATTATTTTAACTACTTAGGTACAGAATATCATTCTACTATTTTAAGTATGGGAACAATCTTTCAACTGAACCTCTGTCTCCCTGTATATACGATAGATGATAAAATATGTAAAAATAGAAATGAAGAAAATAATCTCAATTCAGAAAGTTCTGTGCTTATAAAACTGAGGGAAACTGACAAGAAGGTGGTATCTGGGGACACAATCCAGACAGCTGCCCATGTGCATTTATGAGAAATGAACAGCTCTGAGCTCTTAGCGTAATTTACATCCTGCAAATTCTAAGAGCAACAGGAGCACAGTGCTCAGAGTAGAATTAATGGCAGAAAGCAGCATTTTGGACAAGTATTTAGAGAAATAACAGAGGTTGGATGTTACAAATCCTGGAAATCTTGCAAGGGAGTGTTGGCTTGCAATGTGGGTGAGAAGAAGAATCTCTGGTGGAAGGTTCAACAGAGAAATGCCCTGGTTAGAATTAAATATTGCAAGGATCCCTCTGGTTAGGTCTAGATTATGGAAATATGAATGTTCAGTGGACACCTACATTGTCACAGGTATGCAGGGCTTGTATGACGAAAGCTTGTTCAGGAAGGAGCTGTAGAGGAAGAGAAGTTTTGGGAACTTAAAAGAATATGTTAAAGACTTGGACACAGTTTTGTGAGAAATTAAACACTCAGGAACAATGCCAACTTGGTTGACACCATGCAAGTGAGAGGATGGGAGTGACGTCACCTAAGAGGGCCACATTATATTCATATTGTCATATTTAATAAGGCTTCTTTGCAGTAAGGCAACCAGTGAAGCAATAGTTGTTCGTTGAAATGGTATGATTCTTCTAAGTGTTTTAATCCTCTTATATTTTTCTAATCCACCCTGTTTCCATACCTACCTATCCTAAAAGTATTATTTGATTTTATATTTTATTTTAACACACTCTCTATACTACATTCTAATGAGATATTTATTTGTTCATAATAATATGCAATTATGTCACAATTGTTTTGAACTATACCTTATTTCTTTCTTATAATGACGCTTTTAAATATTCCAATAAATAAATATCTCTGAAAAACACTTCAAAACATATTTCAAGATAATTCCAAATATTAAATTCCATGTGAATTTATATGCAATGTCACATAAGTGACAAGGTAAATCTTGAGTTTAAGGAGAAAAGCAAAATCATCCTAATAAGTATTTAGCTTCAGGTTTAATACTCTGTTTAAAAAAGTCTTAAGATTCTCACTTCTATTTTAAAACAAGAGGTAACATTGTAAATTAAGCTCAAAATCCACTGAAATGTACATATGTTGTCATTATTTTTGCTTATGATAAATTTAGGAGGTACAATTTTGTACAAGGAAGACAAACAAAGAAATTGAAAACCAGTCTTTGAATGTAGTAGTTTTTGTTGTTTCTTCATTTTTTGCTTTAACAAGTGAGGGGCCCACATTTAATGCCAGTAGTACAGTAATTGATGTATAATTAGTACTTGATAGACATTGACTTGCTGAGCATGTTTGGTTCAGGAGAAAAGATTCAGGGAGGCACTACTGAAATTGCTCAAAGAAAAGTAAAACAGAGAAACAATGACATTGGTGAATGAAGTTGAAAAATTAAGGATATTTCATTCAACTTTATTTATGTAATGTAATTAGTATAATATTATCATTGTCTATATTCATTAGAAAAAAGACTATTTCATTTCGGTGATCAATGGAAAGATTTTGATAAAATATTTTAAAATTAGTTGGATAAACCAAAAAGAAGGGCATGGCACGATGAAGTTATTGTTTCTATTGTTTTATAAAGTATTTAATGATACTTCTAGGGAAGAAATAACACTGAATTAGGAATAATTGGAATATTTACTCAAAAAACAAATCAATCTAAAACTGCTCGACTGATTTCTAGAGAGGTGAATGAGCTATACAAGTTTTAGAAAAAATATCTCACTATTTTAAATTATTTTGTTTCTACTTACCTTGGTTTTATGTAGGTGTGTATTGGGAGGGAAATCAGTTTACTTAAGAATCTTTCTCGTGGGCTGGCCATATAGCTCAGCAGATTAGAGAGCCCGCAAGCAGGCTCAGGGCCCCCCTAGAATGCCTTGTGGGTTTTTTCGTTGTTTGTTTTGTTTGTTCATTTGTTTTTAATTTTTTAAAAGAGAGTACAAATTACAATTAAAACAGAAAAAAATACAAGTGATAAGATTTTCACTTAACAAGTAATATGAATTTCACAGAATTTGTTGTAATACATAGTGCTGTCTTCCAACCAGTTATTCATTTTACCAGATATATGTATATAAAATTGGAAGAAGAGAAAAAAAAAGACAAATGTATAAGAAATTAAGAAAAGAAGAAGTACAAACGTTTGAAAATAGGAGATGAAACAAATTAAAGCATTAACTGCTTCTTTTCTTCTAAGATTTTTTCCTCTAAATTCCAATTTATTCTGCGTGCTTTACTTACAGTTCTACAAATTGTAATTTCATTTTCATATCAGAGCTCCTACAAATAACCTGTTCTTCCTCGCAGCCTCTCTTCTGCCCCCATCTCTATGCCTAGCCAAGGCTAGCCCTCAGTATGCAGGAGTATTCCCATTGGTATACTTCATAGCAAAGAAAAATCACATCTTTGAATTTATGAATTTATATTTTATGGTTTTACTTATTTTAATTTTTAAAGAGTAAAAAATAAACATTATAAATGATACAGAAAAAAATGATATAGAATTTCACTAAACAAAATAAACAGGAATTGAGCAATAGTTGTTAAATTAGATAATATTGTCTTCAAATTAGTTATTCAGACATAAGTATGCAAAATTGGTTAAAAATTAAGAAATTAAAAGAAGAAAAAAATTGAGCATTAACTGCTAATTTCAAGACCAGCAGAAATCAGTAGCAGAATTGCCCAAGGCATTCTTAACATAAACATAAATATATTGATTTAGAAATAGTAAAAGTTCTTCTTGATATAAAGTATGCCTAATAATTTTCTGTATTTCCAAAATTTTTTCTAGATCACTCCTGTGCCTGGTACTCATCCATTGTTAGTTTTTGTGAACCCCAAAAGTGGTGGGAAGCAAGGAGAAAGGTATGTTTTTAAATGCCACATGTATACCACAAGATGCATAAATTAAAAATAAACTAAAATTGTGATATAACAGTGTTTAAAGTTATTTACCACTCTATATTATTTTAACAAGAAATATATGATGCTGACACTTATGTACCATGATAATAATTTCTTCTTTTGTAGTTGCAGCTGTCTCATGACAGCTTTTCAGAAATACTTCAATATCACAGCTTATCATCTGCATTATTTTCATCTCACCTATCAGCCCATTCCTTAATGAAGAGCTTTGTGTACTTTAAGGCCTCACAAACACTGTGAAGTAGAAATTGTCTCTCTGAATGGTCATCAAACAAATGCTGGGTAAATCACATCCCGAAGTAAGGATCAAATCACGTAGCCATCTCATAACCGAAATATAATGCTATGATTTTCTTCAAGTATATTTTGGGGAACATGGGGTCAAATTTTCTGGAGAAGCACAGGAGAGTTTATCTGAATATAATGAACTGCATTGTCAGGAATCTCACTATCCCAGATGATAATATAAAAGTTTATTTTTATAATGAATTAATTATTAATTCATACTAATTGACACAAATATGGAAAGCACTATTTTCACAACAAAAGTTATATTCTTCTACAGAGCACAGTCATAAGCTAAAATGCAGCCATGTCTGCTCGAGGAAGTCTAGATGCCTTAATGCAAATGATACAACAATGAAACACTGCAGTTTACCAAACAAAAAAGAAGTTCCTAGGAATAAGGATTTTTTTTTCATGCATTTGATACAGGGTCTCACTAGGGCAGCTCGGACTCATAGTGATCTTCCCATTTCAGTGTCCCCACAAGCGCTGGGATTACAGGCATGTATCACCACGCCCGGTCTTGGTGGCTGACTTGGCACACCCAGTCGGGGCTGGCATGGTGTGGGGTACCTTGGAGGGAACCCGGGTCCTTATAATTGCTGAGGCAGGCACTTGGACCACTGAGTTATCTCCACTTCCTGGAATAAGGAAATTTTGACAGTAATTTTCTTTCTTGCCATTGAACTTTTGAGTTCATTCCAATGGAATACAGAGTCCTCGCTTTTGAATCACTGTAATCCTAGGTTTTGCATAAAAATAGCTCCTTTTTCATCAACATATAGTTATATTTTCTCTTCTAAACATGATATTAACAATTTTTGAGTAAATGCAAGCTTAACTATTAAAATATTCATTACTCTTTGTTAAAAAGAGTTGCCTCACTACTTTAGGTATAAAATAATAATTTTATAACAATGCCAAAATTACTTTCTCCCAACTACTTATGGTCTGCTTGCTGCATGTATCATAGATATCTTCTTATATAAACTGAATTCACTATTTGACTGATAACAAATGCTCCAACTTACATATATTAATCAAGTCTATGTGATATTACAATACTTGTATATATTTGTAATGTTTAAGTTAAACATGTCTATTTTCTCAAATTTTGCTTTTTTACTTTTTTTTTTTTTTTTTCAGAACCAGGAATCAAACTCAGGCCCTTGTGCGTGCCAGGGAAGCACTTATTCCACTGAGCCATCTCCCCGGACCTTACTTTCTCAAATTTTGAACTTTTCTTTTAATAGCTTTCTGAAAGATTTTAAAATCTTTCCTTCTTGATTTAGAAAAAGTCCATTAGTTAGGGTCATCGTGCTACACCCTAGCACACCAGAACCTGCTTTCCTATAATCGTAACTCGGAACCCTATAACTAAGCTTCCCTCTTCACTCTTTCCTATGCACATTAGTCTTTATTACCACCATTCTAAACTCCACTTCTATGAGATCAGCCTTTTTAGATTCCACATGCGTGACATCATGTAGTTTTTGTCTTTCTGTGCTTGTCTTTGTCCATTTAACTTAATGATTTCCGGTTTCATTCATGTCATCACAAATGACAGGCTTTCATTCTTTATGGCTAAATATTATCCCATTGCATGCATGTACCATATTTCATCCACTTATCAGTTGATGGGCACTGGTTTTTCCAGGCCGTGGCTCCAGTGATGAGTGCAGCCTGGATGCACAGATTCCCTCTTTTCTGTGGTACTGGAATTCATCCCTGGGCTTTCGAGCACATGCAGCGAGTCCTCCATTGTTGAGCAACATCCTCATTTCCCCACTTCCTTTGTAAGATCCCCAGTGGAATTGCTGTGTCTGGTAGTGCTTTCTTGGTTTAAGTTTTGAGCAAATTTTCTATTGTTTTTCATAATAGCTTGTCTACTCTACATTCCCATTGACAGTTGTAACCTTTCTCTTTCCTGCACATTGTTGCCAACACTTATTATACCAAGTTTTTGGTCATAATCATTCTTACTGGAGTGAAAGGAAATCCATGTGTTGTCTTAATTTGCAGGCCCTTGAGAAGTAGTGAAGTGGAAGATGCTTTTCATACAATGTGTCTGTGGACTATGTGATTTCTTCAAAGCAATTTCTACTTGGAACTATGTTTTTAATTTGCTTTTATTTTTGTTTCTTCACTATCGAGTTTTCTGAGATTGTTGTACATGCTGGATATTCAGCCCTTGCAAAATGTGTAGTTTGCAAATACTTTCCTCTATCTTATATATTATTTATTGTGTTGATTGTTTCTTTTACTATGCAAGGCTTTTTACTTTACTGTATTCTCTCTTGTTAACAGGAACACTTAAGTATACACATATGCAGAAAAAGAATTTGATAAAATTTAATATCCCCTCATCACAAAATCTAGAACAAATTAGTTATGGAAGGAACAGCATTCAACATAACAAAAACCTTTATAACATGGTTCATATCACCCTATATGGGGCAAAACTGAAAGTGTTCCTTATAAGTTCTGGAAAAAGACAAAGATTCCTGTTTTCTTCAGTTTTATTCATAATAGTGCTGAAGATCTTTTTTTTTTTTTTTTTTTTTTTTTTTTTTTTTTTTTTTTGAACGGGGATTGAACTCAGGCCCTTGTGCTTGCCAGGGAAGTGCTTATTCTACTGAGCCATCTCCCAGACCCCAGTGCTGAAGATCTTAACCAGAGCTATCATGCAAGACAGAACTAAGGGACTTCCTGGTTGAAAACAGAGAAGTCAAGTGGCACCACTTAAAAATGATGTAATTTTGCATATGTAAGACCCCAGACACTCCACCAAAGAACTTTTAGAATAAATAAATCAATTCAGAAAAGCTACAGCCAAAAAGTCAACATGCGGGCTGGTGAGATGGCTCAGTGGTCTAAAGCACCTACTTAGAACAAGCTAAGCCAAGCAAAGCACAGGAACTGCGGTTCAATCCCCCAGTACCACATGCCAGCCAGCCCCGCCCTCTGGTGGGCTGAGCTGCCCACACACAAAATAAATAAATAAATAAATATTTTTAAAAAAGTCAACATGCAATAATCAGTAGTGTGGATGCATTCTAATGGTGCAGTGTGTGACACAGTGATCAGGAGAATAATCCACCTCCAGTGACTCCCACAACTTAAATACCTTGGAATAAATGAAACAAAAGAGGTGAAAGATCTCTAAAATCACAAATACATATTTATATAATAGAAAACATGGGTAAAAGAAATGAAAGAGGTCATGTATATATAAATGCACAAAGAGAGAGGCAGAGACAGAGAAATTAGAGCTACATATTGTGCTCAAATGTTAAGTGCATCGATATTCTTCAAATGTCCATGCATTCATATGATCTGTAGATTCACTGTACTCTCTGTCAAAGCATTAGTGGTAGTCTCTCTTTTTTTGGCAGCCTGAAGATGCCTTGAGGGCATTTCTGGTTTGCTGTGAGTATCTGGGTTCAAACCACAGCATCTTGAGCGTGAGTGCTTTGTTGAAGTAGGCACTTACACAATTGAGCTAATGGGCAGGCCCCCTAGTGGTAGTCTTTACAGAACTGAAAAAGGCCATCATAATGTTATTTACCTCTGCAAAAATACTTAATACCCTAAGCTATCTTAAGGAAAAATTAAAAAGCAAGAAGCGATATGCTGCCAAACTTTGAAATACACTACAACACTGGGGGAGTTAGTAGAGTGTGGTATTTGTATACATATATA